TGAGAGGAGCTGGAGGAGAATAAAATGATGAAGGCATCCAACGCGAGCCAGGTTGTGATCCGTCCTCAACACTCATATGGATCCATTTCACACACGCACACACACACACACACACACACACACACACACACACACACACACACACACACAATAACGGGACACTTTTTTTTGAAACCACAAAAGCAGCAGTGCTGTCTCTTAACACTGACAGCAGCATCGCAATACTCTTGCAGTAATTCATCCATCTGGGTATGTCTCGGCTTTATGTATCCGCGCGTCCACAGCCATAATGGTAATAACGAATGCGCATGATGTACGGAAATGAGTCCACAAAACGCCGTCACGCAAATACGGAGCAAGCATCAGGAGAAAGACGCGGCGCTGTTTCTTACATTTATTTGGAGGGGGGGCAATAGGGTGTCATCATGAATTGTAATTGCGGGCTGTATCCAGGAGGAAATACGGCTCCCGAACCCGAAGGCTTATTAACAACAGAGTGGTCAGACAGGGAATTAATTACTGTTCCGGAAAAATAAATGATCCAAATATGTGGAAACCAGCGTATATTCATGCGCTTAAAGGCTGCACAGGATAGCCTCACACCGCTATCACGTCATGGTGGGAGGTGCCAATCATCCAGTAAATGATGGAGGCCTAATTAACGAGATTGAAGCCGGAGATATTACACATCAGTGGATTATTTCCCTTTTTTGCCACTAAGACGAACCTAAATGTCGCCAAAGCGTCGCGCCGCGCTTGGCTTTATTCCGACTGCAAGGCGTCTATTTCCTATCAACACCCCACTGCCCCCCACCCCGCACACACACGCCACCCTGCTCCCCCCCACCCACCCATAAAAACAGCTGGACCGTCTAACGCACGGCTACATCTGCGTGCCGCACATCACCGTGCCACCCCGATCAATCCGTGTGCCTTACCCTTTCCATGAGCGACAGAGAAAGGAAATAAACGCGCATCGTGGCCCGGTTCACTCCATCGGAGCAGCTGAGAGACGGAGGCTGCAGGTTATCCCCGTTACAGCCCGGTTACCAGCTTGCCCCATCCCCTCCCTCTCTCTGCTGTGGAAGAGACAGCACGGCTCAGCCGCTGCGTCAAAGCGCAGGTAGCGAACACGGGGGGTATCCGGTTAAGACTTTCAGAATAAAAGTGTGAAACTGGCAGTCCAGGGATGTGGTTCTTCTTTAAAATATTTATTTATGACATTGTAAGAGACGTGTACGTCTCTTAAGGGAAGAATGTGAGGGTGGTGCAGGACATACAGTGCATGAGAACAGCGAGACTGGTGCAAGCTAAACTGTGAGTGAGGAGTAACATAGTTTCAATGGAGGGGTGGCATACTGGTTGACAGATGAGGTCAGGCAGAAGTCTGCCTGGACTACTGTGTTTGCAGATTGCATTATGATTTGTAGTAAGAGTAGGGAGCAGATGGATGAGAGGTACACTCTGAAGAAAAGAGGAATCAGTCAGTAGAAGCAAGACAGAGTACAGGTCTGCATGGAAGGGAGACAGGTGTAACAGTGAAGCTGCAGGGAGTAGAGGCACTGAAGGTGGATGGTGGAAACCTGGGATCAACTAGGTAGGCGCGGTGGAGCGGATGGAGACGAGTGTCAGGGGTGATATGTGGCAGAAGGATAGCAGCAAGAGTGAAAGAGAAGGTGTACAAGATGTTAGTGAGAGCTGCTCTGATGTATGGTTTGGGGACGGTGGTACTGACAAAAAGACAGGAAGTGCAGCTGAAGATGTCCAGATGCTCAGAATGGACAGAAATAGAAATAACAGTGAGGAAGAGCTCAGGTTGAGCGGTTTGGAGACAAAGTTGGAGAGACCAGGCTGAGAGGGTTTGGACCTGTGCAGAGGAGGACATGTGGATATACTGGAGAAAGGATGTTAAAAATGGAGCTACCAGGCAGGAGGAAAAGAGGAAGACCACAGAGAAGTTTCATGGATGTAGTGACTGAGGACATGCAGAGGGTTAGTGTGACACAGGAGGATGCTCGAGACAGGGTGAGGTGAAGGCAAATGATCTGCTGTGTTGACTCTTTAAGTAAACAGCCTAAAAAAAGAAAGAATTTAAATTATGAAAGAATTTAAATTATGAAAGAATTTAGCAGAAATTGTGCTTAGAAGCAAATTTCCAGGAGAAAAAGAAAGAATTTTCAAATCTTATTTCTTATTTCCATTTTAAAATCAGATTAAGTATAAATGCAGTTTTGAGGTCAGAGTTCAAGAGTTTAAAGATTTATCCATTAAACACGAGGAGACTAATTGTTTCCCACAAGCCAAAAGATGAGTATATAAATGGACAAGTACCGTACCGTTTTATCCATGGTGCCCACTTTCCACATTTCATTACAGTGATTTTTTATTTAAAGTAATTCTAACCAAAACATAAAGGTCAAAGGACAAATCAGGAGATTGTAAACTAGGATAGAAAACAAATGTAATCTATATCTGCTGTATTTCTAGTTTATTTATTTTTTTAAAATATGTTTTTGGATTTACCCAATCTTTCTCTTTTAACTGAGATATATATTTGAGTAGAACTTCGTGCAAGTAAAGCTGTTAAACACGTGAAAACACTGAATTTTCAGGACAGAATGAGTAGCCTGATTCAGAAAAAAACATCAGAGAGGGACCGTGAACATATTTACCTTTTTTTGCCCCTCGGAAATAATAAATATGTTATTATAAAGTTGCTCTGTGGGGAAAAATGAGCCGTGACTGAACAAAATGAACGCTTCAAAGAGGTTTATATTAAAGACAAACTCGAGCTTTTCCGCCTCCCTTCCTGCTGTTTCTGTAAAGCTTGACGACCTCCAATCGTTTTCTCTCCTCGTGAAGACGCTGTCTCTTAAAGAAACACGCTCTTACCGGCTTTCACGTTTTTAAACCTCCCATCCTCACATCCCCACATTTCTTTCCAGCTGCCTCTCCTCGCCTTTTCTCCGTGCTTATCCGCAGAACAAAGGCAGACCAATCTGAGCTGTTATGTGGGTGAATACTTTCCAATTTATCCTCTTTGTGTAATAGATAAAACTTGCAGGCACAATGGTACAATTGCACCCTCTAGTGTCTGAAATGGAGAAATTCGGTACTCTAGTAGCATAAGGTTTCAGGCTAAATGTCTGGAATTTAGGCAAACATCATCATATCTGTTTAACTGGAGGTTTTTAAAAGGTCGCAGTCAGCAATGAACAACTTCAAAATGAACAAAGTTGAACTTTTGCGAAGTCAGACATTAGAAAGGAATCTGGGGCTTATTGTGGGGGAACTTTTTTTCTTCTTCAGTCTAATTAAATATAAAAAAAATGTATACACTTCTTCTTTTATGTGATTGGTCGGAAAATGTGAAGATGTATCTATGAAAATTTCTCAGTCACTTCACCAATAGGAGCTCTGGGGAGGCGGGTTTTAAGCCCCTGGGTATTGGGGTGGGGGGGTTGCCGGGGTGACGTAATGTCCTCTCCAGAGAGCCACCAGTGCTCTAAATTAAATAGTTTTGAGAGGCGG